AAAAGTCACAAGTTTGGCCAGCTGGCTTGTAGTTCATGCTAGAAGGATCTGCTGAACCTTACCAAAGAGTTTAATAAGCAGTACAAGAAGGGGCTCATGTGAGGTGTCAAGGGCTGCCTCACATAGCTGCTGAGAAAAAAAGGGAGAAAGAAGGGTTCTTAGAGTATAAGAAACCAGATAACACATATGGCAGGGAACAACAATCTATAACACCCTCTACTGATGTGGAAGTCACCTCTTTGTGCTGTGATTACCATTAATGAATAAAGAAAACTGCTTTAGCCTGTTGATAGGGCAGAACTTAGGTAGGTGGGGAAGACAGAACTTGATGCTGAGAGAAAGGAGTGTCAGGAGAGATGCTATGGAGCCTCTGGAGACAGATGCTGGAAATTTTACCTGGTAAGCCACTGCCACATGATGATATGAAGATTATTAGTAATGGGTTAAATTAAGATGTAAGTGTTAGCCAATAAGAAACTAGAGAAGGGGGGCCTAGCAGTGATTTAATGAATAGAGTTTCTATGTGATTATTTCATGTGTAAGCTAGCCAGGTGGCCCAAAAGAACAAGCAGCTCACCACAACAGATTGGTACTCATGTGACCAACTAATTCCACATAAAACCTGAGAGGGCTTGAAAAGGAATGTTAGAAACAAAACTGCAGAGTTTAACAAATCTTCTTGCTGTTTGCTAGTGGCTTGCCACAGATCCTTTAACAGAGACTTTTCTGACTTAGCCTCAGCAGAAAAAAAAAGTGGCTGTTTTGAAATGGTGGCTTTCTGGGTTAAGCTGCCAGCATGACCTCTGGTTCTATCTGTAGCAAGGAGCTGTGAGGCTGCCTCCCTGCCACCCCAGCTCGCAGCCATCTGCTAGCTTTACCCGGAATAATTACATGGAAACTATATTCTTTTAAACATTGCTTGGCCCATTAGTTTTAACCTCTTATTGGCTAGCTCTTACATATTGATCTAACCCATTTCTGATATTCTGTGTAGCCCCATGAGGTGGCTTACCAGGGAGATCTTAACCTATGTCGGTGTCTGGTGGGAGAATCATGGCAACTGCCTGACTCGGCTTCTTTCTCCCAGCATTCTGTTCTGTCTACATCACCTACCTAATATTCTGTCCTATCAGGGCCAAGGCAGTCTCTTTATTTAACCAATGAAATTAACACAAAACAGAAGGCTCTCCCCCATCATCTATCAGGAGAAGGAACATTTGGTTGGGGTTTGTGAGTAGTGTGCTTCAATTTGCTTGATCACAACATGGACCAGCTTTATGCCTGGAACCGAAGTAGTATATGTGGCTCAGAGGTTCAAGCTATTTAGCCATGCTGGACTGTGTTGATCAAGCATGGAGTACCATAAAAACCATAGTAATACACAGCTCATTTTTTAGACTGGGCTGGCAAGCAGGAAGTACTGTATATGCAATACTACTGACACAGCTTAAATTTAAGAAATACTTCCCATTTTAAAAAAAGTGTTCTTGGACAGTAAATAATCATAGATATGCAATAAAGCCAAATCCAGATGAGTCAAAGTGTTGGATAAATACACATAGGCTTGGAAGAGAGAAGAAAAAGAGTACAGAGAGTTTAAAAAGGAGTAAAAAAAGGCTTTAAAGAGAGAGAGTACAGACAGTCAAAGATTAAAAGAAGTAAAGAAAAATAAGCCAGTAAAAATGGAATATTCATAGAGAGTCTGGATTATGCACATTATTGTGTTTTCTTTGAATTTTTTGACTGTGAAGGAGCTAAGTACAGAGAGACATTTCATTGTATGGGCTGTCAAGCTAAACAAGCACATATATTATAAAGGTATCCTAACTTCCAAATTTGAATCTAAGAATATGTTGCTCTGGAAAAGAGGTTCTTCTCTTGTTTCCACAGAAGATGAGAACCTGTGTATTGCTTCCAGACCAATATGGTTTCATGGAACAAGACTGCCTGAAAGGTGACTGTGAACACCCCCACAAAGAAAATACGTTGCCCAACTGCTGACAGAGATGAAGCTAGCAAACACTATACACCATGAAACACCTGATAAAAAAGAGTCCCCAAACATCAGAAAGTAGTATGGATAGAACGAGTCTTATATTTCCAAATATCATTTATAATTGTTTGTTTATATTTAAAGGGTGATATGATATAGATATGAATGCTTTGCATTAATATGGATCTTGGTTTCTTGATACAAATTAAGGGCAATTTTTTATGTGTATTTGTATGTATATTTCTGTATGAATATTTGTATGTTTATATATGTATATATTTACATGTGTGTATAAATATATGTATGAATATTTGCATGTATGTTTGCATATATTTCTGTATGAAATTTGTATGTATATTTCTGCTCTTTATTAAGATATTGTGATTGTGTAGTTCATTTAAAACTATAATGTATAATTAAGAAATATAGGTTAACAGATAGTCATCTAAATAATAGTCAAGATTTTAGTCATGTTAGTTACATTTTTTAGACATAAAAATATAGTCCCTGTTCTAGCAACTGCTTACAAATTACCACACAGAGACTTAAAATTATTTATAAATAAATGCTCAGGCTTACTATGAACTAACTCTTGCACTTAAATTAACCCATATTTCTATTTATGCTTTGTCAAAATCTCAAAGTATTAGGTATTCTTCAAATCTTTCAGAGAACTTCAGAATATGGCATTTAAAATGCTTTAAGCAGTTAGGACTTTTCATGATGGTGAGACACATCTGCTCCTGGCAGTACCAAGCTACTTCAGAAAGATGATGGGCATTGAAAAGGCTCTTTATGGAGTTGGTTAGCCATTTGGGCAAGAAAATGCTCTAGCCTGGACTGCTTCAGTGGACATGCAGGACCCACGGAGAAATGACTGCTGAACTTGCCTTAGGGTGAGAAGTCTTTTCAGAGTTCTGGCTTCAGGAAAGAGTCTGCTAGAAATTGTGCATGACACAGAAAATTTTGGCAGACATAGAGGTAGGACTGTCATAAAATTTCCTGCTTTGTAGAAAAGTCTGCTGGATATTATGGGCCTGTATGATGGATGCCCCAATGGTACAGAAAACTTTGGGTCCAGATATTGAGAAGTCTCTGTCAATTCTAGAGTTTTGGAAATTGCTTACAATGTACTTTTAGTTTACATAGGTGATATCATATCCTTTTGGAGTCTTCGATGGAGTTGAAGAATTTATAGTTATAGTTTTCCTTAGTTACGATAAAAGATAAGGTAGATATAAATATTGTAACTGTAATTCTTAATTGACACCATTTTTATATGTAATTTTACTATGTTAAAGTTAAAGATTTTCTTTCCGTTTAAACAGAAAAAGGGAGGTGATGTGGGAGTCCCCTCTGTGTGCTGTGATTACCTTTAATGAATAAATAACCTGCCTTGGCCTCAACAGGTAACTTATGTAGGTGGGGAAAATGTAACTGAATCCCGGGAGAAAAGAGGGCAGGAAAGATGCTATGGTGCCACTGGAGACAGATGCTGGAAATATTACCAGTTAAGCCACTGCCATGTGGCAATACATAGAATAATAGAAATGGGTTAAATTTAGATGTAAGAATTAGCCAATAAAAAGCTAGATCTAATGTATCAAGTAGTAATTTAATTAGTACAGTTTCTTTGTGATTATTTCAGGTGTAAGCTAATCAGGCAGCTGGAAAGAACTAGTAGCCTTCTCCCACACTCTTCTGACATGCAGGCATATATGTAGACAGAACACTCATAGATGTAAATGAATAAATTTTAAAACAAACAAAAAATTAATATGAAAATAGTAGGTATTTAAAAATTAATACTAAGATAAACCCTATGTCGTGATACATAACTATAATTCCAGCATCTGAGAATTAAAGAGAAACCATATTACAAAATAAAGATTATAGAAAGGAATGAGATTAATAGGGTATTCTGGCCAAACATGTGTGAGTAGATTCAGCATATATATACAAGTTTGTAGCATGAGGGTCAGGCTTGTTGGGGTTTCTGTCCTGCTCAGTCCCCCCAGCCATTTAGTCCCAGAGAAAAATCACACAGAGATTCCACATTAGATATAAACTGATTGGCCCGTTAGCTAAGACTTTGTATTAGCTCTTATAACTATATTAACCCATTATTTTAGTATATGTTAGCCACATGGCTCAATACATTTTTCAGTGGGGTAGGTCACATCCTGCTTCTTTGGTGATCTGGGAAGAACTGGGGGGAAGAGCTTCCTTCTTCCCAGAATACTCCCACTCTCATTTCTCTGCCTCTTCTTCCTGTCTGGTTTTCCTGCCTGTACTTTCTTCCTGGCTATCAGCCAATCAGCATTTATTTAAAATATAATTGATAGAATATAGAATTGTCTCACACCATTTTCCCTTCTTTTATTTTTTTAAGAAAACAAGAACATCCATAGTCGATTTTTTGGGAATGTGGGCGTAGTTTTCCAGGCTACTTCTGGCTGGTTTGGGGCAGTGATAATCTTATGGGGACCTAAAGAAAATTTAGAGTTATGACCAAGTCCTGACTGGAATATCCTGTGACTCTTGATCATCTTAGGCAGCAGTCTTGAATCTGTTCTGGTTGTAGAACTCTGACATCTGGGCCACCTGTTCCTACTGGAGATTTCTCAGATTTGTCTTCCTTTATCAAACATGATTTTTCTTAACTCAGAATAAATCCATGGCCTCTCATTTCCTGTGGAAACAAAATCAAATCCTCTTCTCCAAAGTAACACACCTTTTGACTTCAGTTTTGTAGTAATGGTATTTTCAAAATACATATCTTGGATTAGTTCAGCAGCATTTGCAAACAAATGTATTTTAGCAACTGTTGCTCCTTCCTCAGCATTCAAACAATTTAAAGAGAGCATAAGAACATACAGTATGTGAATTCTCTGTTTGTTTTCCATCTTTTTAAAACTCTATTTCTTTTATTTTTAATTTTTGGATTTTTGAGACATGGTTTCTGTATATCTTTGTCCTGGAACTCAGTCTGTAAACTGGACTGTCCTTGAACTTACAGAGATCCACCTGCCTATGCCTCCCATGTGCTGGGATAAAAGGTGTGTGCCATCAAACCTTGAACTCACAAGAATCTGTCTACCTCTGCCTCCCAGGCATTGGGATTAGAGGCACAAATCAAAAGACAATTTTAACTAAACAGATGTTTGTGACCCATAATCTTGTTCTTGTGGGGACTTATCAGTGCAGTGCAGTGAAAGATCAAACAAAAACTTAAGTATTTTGTACTTAGAACTCAATATGTTAACATTAGAAGTCAAATGTTTATGATGCTTCAGTATCAAATAAAAATACATTAAAATGGCACTCTTAAATGTGGAGTTTTTAAAAATTAAATAGATAAAGTAAAATGGCATTAATTGTAATAGTTATTAATCACTTGTAATTAAAAAAATTGTACTGAGAATATTCCAAAAACATTTTGAGAGTATTCATAATGAACTAAATTATAGTTTGTATGGTATTGATTTTAATCCCATCTATATTTCCCTTTATGTTTGTCATTCAATTTTGTAAAATATGTTGAATGTTCCAGAAAATATTCAAAGGGATAACAAATTATCTTTCCTGGGATTATTGAAATATTTACATGTTTTCACTTGCCCTTCAATTCTTAAAGTGCCAGGCCTTCAAAAGAGTAAGTAATGTCAAATGTTGATAAGTGGACATAAAGTAGAGGTCACTAATATTGTTTTTGTACTTTAGCTTTTAGATACGTGTACCAACTTCTATCTGAACACCTATTTAACTTAAAATCATTTATGGTCTCCCAAACACCTCTAAGGGTTGTACTCTAAGATAGTTTTTATCCTTAATATTATCACACAATACAAATTGATTTTGTATACTGGTATTAGCAGTTCAAAAATGGAGACTCAACATGGGTAACATGTAATAGATTTCCAACAAATGCTTTGACACTTTCCCTACCTTCGATTAAAGAACAATGGACATTGAGTAGTGTAAAGTACGGCTGTTGAACTTGTTACAAATCGAATATTCTCTTGAGGAGCTGAAGTCATTGGCAATTATGTAGCTATACACTGTACCTATAAGGCCACCTCCAAAAACACGTTCCCTAAAAAAAATCAAAACAAAAAAAACCCTAAATTTCTACAGAAGTCAGCACTCCTGCAATGAAATTTTACCCACCTCCGTTGATTATTTCCAGAATAAATAAGAGAAAAGCAGAGTCCATGAGGAATCAATACTGGTTTTCACCTACTGTCTTTTACATCCCATGATTCAACTTGAACACTACACCATTGCCATTGATCCATATTGAACCCTGTAATGTGTATCTAAGGCATTTGACAGCTGCCTGCTGCCATGTTCAAAGGAATTGCCACCCTGGCTTGCCTCACTGAGGCTGATGTTAAATTCTACCTTGAAGTATTTTACAAATGTACACTAATGCTGAAATCTCCCTTCATAGTAAATTGCTAACAGGGATTTAATGATGGAAATGACTGGGCATATGTTTTGTCATTTCAGTAAAGTGGCTCCATTCAAAATGGCTATCAATGCTCATGTCTAAGAGCTGTCTTGGTGCAGACTTTCTAGGAGGTTCCTAATGTTCCAGGAGTCTCTGTATGTGAGAACAGGTACAACTGTGTAAACAGTTGCCTGGCAAGTCCTGCCCCAGCCATTCTGCAATGGCTTTCTGAAATTTTAGAACCCTCGCAGCCCATCTGCAGTTCTGTAGACATGCCATAAGGTCATTTATCAGGAGAAAGTGTTTTACATTGATGATGGAGCAGAAAATATTATCCCCTGATGCCATCAAAATGTTAAAGATTTTGAGTCAAAGCACACAAGGTAAATGCTTTGAAGATGATGCATAATAAATAGGAGAGCAAGTAGTTGGAAGTTTTCCTGCCTTTACCTTCCACTCCCTGTTCCAGCGACTGCTTACAAATTACCACACAGAGACTTTAAATTATTTATAAATGCTCAGGCTTACTATGGGCTAACTCTTACGCTTAAATTAACCCATATTTCTATTTATGGTTTGTCAAAATCTCATAGCTTGCTACCTCATTTTTTACACATCCTGCTTGCTGGGGGCGGGCTGGCATCTTTGGAGACTTCCCTGACTCTGCCATTCCTCTCTTTGTGTCACTCTGTTTTGCCCAAACTCTTCTTGTCCTGCTATCTGTCAATCAATTTCTTATAAACAATAAGTATAATTCAATGCATTGAGCATCCAATGATGTAAATATGTAAGACTGTGGAGCTTGCTAGGGATTGGCTCTTGCATTTAACCCTATACCCTACCTCAGAGCCAACCTCAAGACCACAGGCTTATGTTTCTTGCTTTCCAGAACAATTGGCAGAACATGACACTGACATTTATTTCTCATAGCCACAATTCACACATCACAACAAGAAAAGCAGTAGGAAAAAATAATCTGAAAACGTACAAATTATTATATTCAGTGTTGTCTGTCCACTTCCAAGGGTGTTGCAATGACTCTCTATACAAGCCAATCCAGTAGGGAAAAAAGGATGCACATCTCTTGAGGAAATTCTGTCATAAAACATTAAAAGTAAAATCAAGTGTCCCTGTTTCAAATGACCCTTCCGTCTCTCTGCCCTACAGCCTCCTTTCTGAAATGCAGCAGGTTGTATTTGATGGTAATCCTCTTTGGAACATCATAACACTCTGTTTTCACTCTATGAAATTATATTAATAATCCAAAGTATATTGTTGGCTCCTCAATTTTTCCATGGCTAAAAACACCCCTCATTAAACCTATTCTTTCCATTATTAACAATTACTACATTCACTATGTAATACCTGCCAACTTGGATAAAGACGTCAATGATTATCTTGTATCTAAGTGGATTGTCCGGCCATGTAGATTGACTATGAGCACTACATGAGAACATGTCTTTGGGAGATCTCCGGGCTCCAGTCAGAAGCAACAACTTTAGAGATAATACACATTCAACAGAACAAACAACAAACCAATCCCTGATCATTCTTACCAGCTCCTCCAGGCTGTCAAATCGAGCTAGTTCGGCTGCCTGTGCCCTACAGTAGGCCTGGCTGACTGTCCAGTTTCTCTCTTCTTTAGAAAAATAAAAACATTTGTTTCCAAATCCAATCCAGCCATTTGGACAGTTCGCATAGCAAGATCCAGGGGTCAACACGACTTGTTTTTCCTTTCTCACTAAAAGGCAGACAGTGCAATGAAATAAAGCAAAGAAACATTTTCATGGTACATCTCTTTTGCTTGCCATGCAAATCTCATTTGGGGTTTATGTGTTTATACTGTGCTCCAGTTTATCACTAGAGGACCCGTTCATGCATGATGGTCCCACATCCAAGGTCTTCCAGTGGGCTATGAAGAAATGCTTTATTCTCCTTCTTTATATTTTGTGTTTTAAGAAAGAGTCTTGTTACATCCCCTTTCCTGGATCTCACCGTGTAGACTACACTTGTCTGGAGCTTGTATTTATCCTGCTGGCTGTGCCTCCCATGTGCTGGAACTAAAGACACCATGCCAGGCAATGATGGAGGAAGGTCATTGGCTAATAAAGGAACTGCCCTGGCCCATTTTATTGGTTAGAGGATAGGTGGGAGGAGAAAACAGGACAGAACGCTGGGAGGAAGAGGAAGTGAGGTCAGAGACTCCACCGCTCTGCTCTCGGGAGCAGACGCCTCAGGGAGACGCCATACTCCCAGCTCCCAGGCAGACACACGCCATGAAGCTCGACCCAGGATGGACTAGGCTAGAATCTCCCCGGTAAGCGCACCTTGGGGTGCCATACACAGATGATTAGAAATTAAGCTAGCTGGGCAGGCGGCCGGGGTGTTGGGGACGCAGCTCCGCCGCCACCCCATATTACTACAGGTTGGCGCCCAGACGTGTGGACAGCCGAAACCCACTTAAAAAACCTGAGAAGGCTTAAAAATAAGGGAGAGAGAGTTTAACACAGATTTTTGCTGTTTGTTGGTGTCGTGCTGTAGAGAGATTTCCTGATTCAGCAACAGTAGCAGAAAAACCACTTTGTCATTTTAAATCGCAACTTCCTGGGGCTGTGCCGCCATTGCGATCTCTGTCTGACTCCTGCGGGAGACAGAGCTTTTGAATAGAGCATTTGGAGTAAAGTGCTACGATTTGTTTGATGGCAACTAGACTCGCTGTGTTCTCGGGTCTGCTCTGCTTGCTAGAGGCAAGCATGCGCTTTCTTCTAAGAGAGGCTTCCTGACTCAGCTTTAGCTGCAAAGCCTGCAGCTCATTAAGAGGTCCTGCCACGAAACACTTAAACGGTGTTGACGAAAAGCTGAGCGCATGCTTTTCGGTTTTCAGCCGTAGCAGGAAAAAAGCTGCGCCGTTTAAAAATGCCGGCTTTCTGGGCTGTCCTGCCAGGGCAAACTCTGACTGTTTGAGGCAGGAGGGCCGGCTACTGAGAGAGGACTTGAGTGTTGTCTGTTGTAGCTCACTTGCTGGCAGGGACCTTGAAATGCCATCCAGTAAACATGCCTACAGCCAGTACCTCAGCCATGAGGCTGGAAAGCTAAGGAATGGACTGGATCTAGCTGGCAAAGCCACGCCTTTAATCCTACTGACATTGCTCGGTAAATTAAAGACTCATGTGGTCAGAAAAAAAGAGATATACAGTAAAGAGAGATTCAAAGACAGAGAAAATTTTTGAATGGTTTAAAGTGTGTTAAAAATATATGCAGACTAAAAGTTGAAGTTTTTAAAGTAAAAAAAAAAAAAAGGAAGAGAGTGGTTGTGTGTGGTAGCACACGCCTTTAATCCCAGTGCCTAGAAGGCAGAGGCAAACAGATCTCTGTGAGTTCAAGGTGTAGTAGTTTACACCTTTAATCCCAATGCCTGGGAGGCAGAGACAGGTGGATCTCTGAGAGTTCAAAGACAGCCTGGTCTACAGGGTTATTCCAGGTCAAAGATATACGCTCAAAAAGCAAAAAGTTAACCTAGGAATGTCACAGCTTAGATTCTTAAGCGCCTAGTGATTTAAAGGTGCAAATCAAAAGTGCTCCTGGATAGTAAAAAATTGATTCACAATAGGACAGATTCAGACCACTAAATGAGTCACACTGTTGGATGAATGTACGTAGGCTTGAGAGAGAGAAGAAAAAAAAAAATATAGAAAATAAAGTTAATGTTAAAAAAAAGGTAAAGTCTTTAAAGAGACAGAATAAAGTAAAGTGATAGAGTAAAAAATAAGCCACGTAAAAATGGAAAATTCACAGAGAGTCTGGATTATGTACATTGTGTTTTCTTTAAATTTTTTGACTGTGAAGGAGCTAAGTACAGAGAGACATTTCATTATATGGGCTGCCAAGTGGAACCAGAACAGATATCATGAGGGTATGATTTCAAAATTTGGATCTAAGGATATGATACTTTGGAAAAGAGATTCTTCTTTTGTTTTCACAGAGGATCAGACCTTGTGGATTGCATTTATCCCGATTTGGTATGATGGACCACGCCCTCCTGAAGGGTTGGTGTGAACGCCTTCAAAAAATTGCTTCGCTCAACTGCCAACTGAGATGAAACTAGCACACAGGTTATACCATGAAAGACCTAATTAACGACGCCCCCATTCAGCAGGAAGCAGTTTGGAGAGAAAAAACTGCACCCATGTTCCCAAATATGGTTTATAAACGTTCTTTTACATTTAAAGGGGGATATGATATAGATATGAATAATTTGCATTAGTATAGATTTTGCTTTATTGATAGAGATTTAAGGTCAATTTTGTTATATGTATAAGTGTTTCTGATTTTGATTAAGGTATTGTGATTGTGTAGTTCATTTAAATATGTACTGTATAATTAAGAAATATAGGTTGTTAATGGATAATCATCGATAATAGTAAAGCTTGTAGTCATGTTAGTTAGATTTTCTAGAGATATAGAGATATATTTTAGATAGACATTCTTCATGTCTTTCAAAGATTACAGAATAGGACATTTAATGTTTTAATAACTGAGGACTTTTCATGACAATGAGACACTCTGCTCCTGGCAGCACCAATCTACTTCAAGAGGAAGATGGGCATCGAAGAGGCACCTTATGGAGTTTGATAGCCATTTGGGCAAGAAACTGCTCTTGCCTGGACTATTGCATAAACTGGACACAGAGAACCCGCAGAGAGAGGACTACTGAACTTGCCTAAGGTGAGATGATCTTTCGGGGTTCCTGATTCATGAAAGAGTCTGCGAGACATTCTGCAGGACACAATAGATAGTGACTGAATTGACTTTGAATTTTCCTGCTTTATGGAAATGTCTGCTGGATACCATGGGCCTAAAGGCTGAAGATGGATGCCCCAACGGTACAGAGGAACTTTGGGTGACTGTCCAGGCAGCGAGATGTCTCTGTCATTTCCAGAGTTTTAAAAGTTGATTTTTTCTTGTTTGCTTAGGTAGTATTGTATCTTTCTGGAGTCTTTGATGGAGTTAAGAATAGTTAGTTATAGTTATAGTTTTCCTTAGTTATGATAAAGATTATTGTAACTTTTACTTGATAACTGTTTTGTTATATGTAATTTTGCTATGTTAAAGTTAAAGCTTTTTTTTTTTTTGTTTAAACCGAAAAAGGGGAAATGATGGAGGAAGGTCATTGGCTAATAAAGGAACTGCCCTGGCCCATTTTATTGGTTAGAGGATAGGTGGGAGGAGAAAACAGGACAGAACGCTGGGAGGAAGAGGAAGTGAGGTCAGAGACTCCACCGCTCTGCTCTCGGGAGCAGACGCCTCAGGGAGACGCCATACTCCCAGCTCCCAGGCAGACACACGCCATGAAGCTCGACCCAGGATGGACTAGGCTAGAATCTCCCCGGTAAGCGCACCTTGGGGTGCCATACACAGATGATTAGAAATTAAGCTAGCTGGGCAGGCGGCCGGGGTGTTGGGGACGCAGCTCCGCCGCCACCCCATATTACTACAAGGCAAGAAAATCATTTCTAGGCCATCAGCTCCTTAGAACTGAGAAGTTTAAACTTCCTTCATTTTAAAAGTTAAGATGCAGTATCTTACAAAATGGGCTATTGATAAATAACACCCTGAACACAAGGACAAGGGAGAGAGCACAGAGCATGTCCATGGCCTGAATCAACCCCACAGAACCTCATAAAAGGACAATTTCTGTAACCCCTCAAACGAGCCTGGACTTGCGCAAGTATGCCCAAATATGAGAAAAACAATAGTCAAAAAAATCTCTTAATGTAACATGAGAAATGATACAGCTTTTTTCCTGGAATTTACCTAGCTATGCTAAAATGGACCTGTGGGTCTTTGTTGCAGGTTACCCTTTTGTTCACGTAGTAGATCCTGCATCCTGGAATAAGTGCTGTTTGTCTTTGCCTACTGTTTGAGTCTGGGCCTTCCTTCAGTGGTTCTCATTCCCTTAAAAAGACTATTCCTATTCCTGGAACCTATACCTTCCTTTCCCATAATACTTCACTTCCTCTTTTCTCTTCAAAAAAAAAGTTTTCTCACCTTGCCTGAATTTTACTATAGAAGAAATGACAGTGTGTAGAACATGGGCATATCAAAATAGATCTTTTATATCAAGTTTCCCTATAATTCTTCCTCACTAGCATTGTGTGTGTGTGTGTGTGTGTGTGTGTGTGTGTGTGTGTGTATTTGTGTGTGTATGTCTATACACATGCTGGCTTTTGTTAGAGTAACACAGAATGGCTATCTTAAAAAAATCTGACAATTGATGTTAGAAAAGTTTGCAGAAAAATGTATATTAATTCTCTGATGGTGGGAGTATAAATTGATACAGTCAGCTGAAGGTTCCTCAAAGAAATTTGAAGTAAACATATTATGTGTCACAGCTTTGCCATTCCTGGGCATATAGAGAGAATCTGACATCCTACCACAGAGATATTTGTATATTCATGTTTACTGTGTCTTTATGTACAATAGATATGATATAGACCTGACCTGAATAGCTATCAGCTAAAAAGATCATTAAATGTGTTACACATACAAAACATAATGTTACTCATTCATAAAGAAGAATGAAATTTAGGGAAAGTGAGTGTATTTCAAATGTTTGATATCAAGTGCGGTCACCCAAACTCAAAAATAAAGAGATCCATGTACTCTATTACAAGGAGTCCTGTCCTGTGATGTACAGTGTAAATAGCTGTGAGTGTGAGTATTTTTACTACATTGTAAGGGGAACAAGGAAGAGTAGTGTAAAGTGACAATGAATGACAGGAGGCAGTAAGTGGCTTGTAGTTGTAAGAAAGGGTTATAAAGAGAATTGTATTTGTAATTTCAACTCTACCATGTTTTTTTTTGTGTGTGTGAATAAGTGAATAAAAATGTGATTGACAGTGAAAGTCTAAAACAATAACCAAAGCTCCATAGCATCAGAATTGCTATTATGTGTGGGAGTTCAGTGAGATACATAGGGTTCGGGACTTGACAGGTCTTGGAGTGGCTATGCTAATGGAGCTGTGTGATGTGTTTATTTGTAAGTCTAACACAATAGAGTGATTGTGTATGTGCACGTGTGTGTATGTGTATAAGAAGCTCTGAATTTCAGAGAACAGCTTAGAAGAATAACATTTTTTTTCATACCTTCAACTTTTTCATCCTTTAAATGAGTAGAAGGAAGGCACTGTTCTTCTAAAGGTCTTCTAAATCCTAGAAATAAGTGATTTCATAAGAGAAATTAAATATCAGAAATGGCTCCCCTACTAATTTTTAGTAGAAGGAAATTTTCTGTCTTTGTCCCCAGTTCTCATACCACATACACTGAGGCTTCAGTGAAAGGGACAAATGTAACAGACAGTGAGGATGACTGTAACTTCTTTTGATTTGACTCTTTTCACATCTGTGTAATACTTTATGTTATACTGAGTAAGATTTTTTGGAAGTTGTTTGTAGATGTTTAGGCCTGTTTATTATTCACTGACTTGGATAACATTGATTTTATGAAACAATATCACAAAACATTTATTTGAGCTATGTCAAAAAGCTGTATAAAATTTTATCAGATAATTCTGAACAGTCCACACCTAAAAAAAGCTTATGAAAAGCATACTTCTAGAACTGTCTGTTTAATATTTTCAAACCATGGTTGAAGACATTAACTGAAATCAAGAGTCATGTGGTGTGGGGTTCTGTGCATTCTTCCAACCAAACACTCTTCACTTCCTCACATCTCTCGGGTGCATCAGCCCTCTTGAGCTTTCTTCCTTGAGCTTTCTTGCTCACTGAATTGAATAGTTCTGCTGCTCCTGTTTAAAGGTTGCTGAATGTCCTCTTCCTCGCCTCCTGTGCACACCACAGCCTGTGCTGTGTTTTCACTGCATCTTTCTGCTACACCCTAAATTTCCAGAGAAGAGGAATTTCCTGTATGTTACCTCTAGAGCCTTTCCCACAATGCTTGGCTCACAGGGATCAGTAAGAATGACTGAAAATGTGAGTGTATCAGAGACCAGTTTTGACAATAATACCACTTACAAGGTTAGGGACATGGGGATTAGAAAAGTTGATAAAGGGTACAAAGACATGAGTGAAAATAATAAAACAGAAAACATAGGATAGTACTGGTGGGATGTTCAAGTGAATACTGAAATCATCCACGTTCAATATTCTATATATTTTTATATCTCAATACTAAGAAGAAAAAGACTTCTTTAACATGGTCAAAAGGACAACTAGAACAGTTATTTGCTTTACTACTTTGAGTCATCAAGCCATTACTCCAATAAGCATTTTGTGGTCTATGCAGTGAAACCACCCTAGACCAAGTATTTTGAAGGCAGCAACTCCCAAGGCCAAACCTCCTATTTCAGAAGAAAGAGCCAAAGTATGTTTGAATTTCCTGACCATTAGTCCGGGAGAGTGGACCTACTTGTATACTATATCTTAATGTCAGAAAGGCCAAGTAGCCACACCCTAGGTCAGGGTGTGTAGCCACACTCTTTGTTAACAGCTATCAACAAGGTAAAACTCTCTGACCTTCAGCCAGGATAGAAATAGGCTCACATTTTTGGGTCTCCACATCAATGTATAGAATGTTGCAGAATTTGGACAACGAGTCACATACCTGACAAGGCAACAGAAAGTGCAATTACAGCTACAGTGAGAACCATGATCACTACATAGCAGCAGTAAAGCTTAACAGGAGGCTCAGTGGAGATGATTCTGAGACATTTTCCTTGATGCCTTTTACCTGAAAATATAAATACCAGAATATCAACCTCAGGAAACTTTCAGGAAAAAAAATACCCAGAATTAACTGTAAATTTCACTTTTACTCCACTTGAGCAAATGCCCTTCACAAAAGTTCCTGGTCCATAAATGATGTCCTTGGCTTGAAAAACACTAGAGAAAAGAGAAACACTTTTTTTGCCACAATTATCTAGTTATTTTCTCTAGGAAAATTGTCTCATACTTTGTTTTTGTTTGTTTGTTTGTTTTTGTTTTTGTTTTGTTTTTGTTTTTGTTTTTCGAGACAGGGTTTCTCTGTGGCTTTGGAGCCTGTCCTGGAACTAGCTCTGTAGACCAGGCTGGTCTCAGACTCACAGAGATCCACCTGCCTCTGCCTCCCGAGTGCTGGGATTAAAGGCGTGCGCCACCATCACTCGGCTGGTCTCATACTTTGTAAAGATTTGTCACTTGTATTTTAATGAAATACTGATTGCCAGTAGCCATGCAGGAAGTATATGTGGGGTGACCAGGCAGGAAGTAGTGGCAGGGAGACCAGGAAGAAAATAGAGGTGGGCCAGCAAAAAGGGAGAATTCTGGTAAGAGGAAAGCTCAGTCTGTAGTCATGATCTAGCCACAGAGGAAGCAAGATGAGAATGCCTTACTGATAAAGGTACCAAGCCACGTGGCTTACAGAGACAAGACTTATGGGCTACTATAAGTTATAAGAGTTAATAAAAAGCTTGAGATAATAGGCCAACCAGTTAATGGCTAATGTAGATCTCTGTGTTTTCTTTGGTACTAAATGGCTGCAAAACTGGGCAGGACAGAAATCTCAGTCAATAGTTATTGAATTAGGCACAAATGAAAGAGGAATAAACAGAAACAGTGAAGATAATGGTAAATAGAAAATAACAAAAAAAAAACTTTTAGTGCTATAAGAAGAGAACAGGTTAGGATGGATGGGTCTGTAATAATAATATTAATGAAAAGAAAATCAGTGTGTAAGCTGGGATGACAAAGGAGTGTTCTTCGGGCACTTAGGAGGTGGAGGCAGGAGAGTCAGGAGTTTGACATTATTCTCGACTAAATATTGAGTTTGAAGCTTAGATGGACTAAAATAGACCTCATTCTATATATCTGTCTTTCTGTCTGTCTATCATTTATCTATCTATCTTTCTATCTATCTCTTTATTTATCTATTCATCCATCCGTCATCTGTCTGTCCATCTGTCAGTCTATCTATCTATCTATCTATCTATCTATCTATCATCTATCTATCAGTCTATATGTCTACCTATCAATCTTTCTATCGATGTATCTTCTATTTCTCTATAATGAACTAACTAAATGCAGTTTGACATATAAGCAGAATAAGAAAATAAAAAAGAATCATTTCAGCAAAGTACACACACAAGTTACTGTAAATCCATAGTAAGAACTTTCAACATATTAGTAATTAAATGAATTTTTTGAACCTAACAGGAGCTATCCAGAATAAATGAAAACACAACTGCAATTAAAGTCAGCATGAATGCTCCCCCCCCCCAGTCACCCAGAGCAAGGCAAGGATGTCTGCTCACCATTCTAGCATGACTCTTGGGTTACTATGCAGGACATAAGGATGAGAAAGTGAAATAAGTGTCATGCTCCACAAAGAGAGATGAAAGTGTTGCTATTCAGACAACATGGATGGATCTACATACAAAGTTCTAAAGAGTCTTTTGGAAGAGCCCTAAAAAGAATGAATGAGTTTACAATGAGGCAGGACACAATATCAATGCTTAAAATAATTTGCATTTATATACACTAGCAATTGTCAAATGTAAACAAATATAAGTACTACAGCTCTCAGAGTACTGCCAAACACAAAATTGTACATGTAGTAGAACATGGTCATATTCAGTTGTTGGCAGAGCAACAAGGGCTTTTAAACTCTGAGTCAATTCTCTGTTTCCTTTCATTGGGTTCCTAAAGATCTCAACATATTGTAGGTACAATTTCCTTTGAGAGAATGAAAAAAATAAACATTAACAAGAAAAATATAAAAATCTTGTCAGTACATGTTTACCTTTTGATTCTTTTGTCAGGGATCACAAATACTAAATCTATTTTATTTTTCTAAGTGTGGGTTAAGAAATCTCTGTCTGAGACAAGTGCACTGACAAGTTTCTTCTTCAAATAGATTTAAAGTTCTAGTCTTCATGTTTGTGTCTTTTGTCCATTTTGAGTCATTTATTATACAATGAATGAGGTATGAGTCATCATCATGGGAACCAGCTGTCTTAGCATTATATGCAGAGGAAATATCATCCTTTCTTTACCCATGAAACTTGCAAACTGAGACTGCTTTTTTGTTTCCCGGCTGTCCATACTCTAATAATCACACAGAAATTGTATCAATTACGACACTGTTTGGTCAATGACTCAAGCATTTTCCTAGTTAGTTCTTATATCTTAAATTAACCCATTTTTATTTCTGTACCACTATGAGGCTGTGGCCTACCAGTAAGTTTCTTGTATCTTTCTATATTGGCAGCTACATGGCACTTGGCTGACTCCACCTTTCTTCCTCCTCTATCTCTGCTTGGATTTCCTGATTTGCTATATTCTATACCGCCATAGGTCAAAGCAGATTGTTTATTAACCAATGGTAATAAAACAAATTCATAGCATACAACAGACTTCATATTTACATCGTTTTCCCTTTTGCATGATTTATTGTTCAATAAATGAGGTATGGAAGAAACTGTCTTAGCATCATATATAGAAGAGATACCTTCCATTCTCTACCTAAAAAACTGTCCACCTTACCTAGTTTACAGTTCATAGACACACACATTTAATAAAACCCACATTGATTTTTAAAAATAAAAATATACCAAAAGTGAGAAGCTGCAGTAAATACATCTTTTTAAAATGGTCAATATTACCAATGTTTGGGAGAAACATAGTTTAGTGATTTGCTAAAATTTGAATACGTTTCTCTCATTACCTAGATCTAAGGGAAATGCCTGTGTTTACATAAAGAAGCCTGTCTGCATTCAAGCAAGCTTTACGAATGTAGTATGTGTTTGAAACAACTCAAATATCCCTGAGCTTGTGACAAAGTGAAACAATATTACTCAAACCTGGGGAAGTGACTGAAAAAAAAAACTGGACCTCGGGCTTGCATTTGCCCATTTCTTCTTGTGCTTGCTAAACGTTCTTCAGCTTTCTCTTCCCAGAGATCCTTAAGCAAAAATTTGATGCCCACTTTAGTAACCCTTAAGTAGTTGGCAACAAAAGCAGTCATTCACGGCTAGCAACGTGGCTTAGTGGGAAAAAAAGTGTATTATATTCAAGCCTGATATCCTGGATTTAGTCCCTGGAACATGCACAAAAGCACGAGATAACCAAATACAGGTAACTGTTTTATTGACTTTAGATGTGAGTTAAAACTCATGTGTGAAGTCACCACCACTACCATCACCACCAAATCCCAAACAGCAACAAAATCTCACCCAGTCCATGTGCAGTTTACTTGGAGAATCTGATGACAGGTCATTAGTTTTCTGCTGATAAATTTCAATTACCTGCTCTCTTTTTGCTCATTCTCTTACGCACTAGTTTCCTGAAAGGTTTCCCTGACCTGTTTGAAAATATTTTTTGTGTTCAGGTTTGAAATACAAACTCTGAATTTACATCTCACATCTCAATCAATCATGTTATCAAACCTCTTCTACTATAGCTACTGTGTTCACAGTTGACATATGACTGGAATGTACTGTGGATTAATCTCAAATGCATGATTTCAGCAGGGATCCAGCTTTATGATATTCTTGAAAAGCAAGTGTTTCAGCACCGAAAAGCCAAAGATGCCATAGGCTGTGTACAGAGGAAAAGAGTTTCTAGAGAAGGGCACTGGGGTACTAGAGTGGGGTCTGAGTCTATAATGTGACTATGATGAAGACTTCATAGTTACATATGTTCTAAAAGTTTATGAACATATAAACTTTTATGCAGTGGTATAGTGAAGGGGAAGGTTAAATTGTAGACATAAAGAAGAGTACAGTCAGAGGCCTCAAGAAGAGTCCAGAGCTGAGAGAGAATGTAGTGGACTAAGATGGCCAGCAGCTGGAACTGGATGATAAAGAGAAAGGGAGGGGGCAGAGATGAAGACAAGGGAGGGGGAGAGACCAGGGGAGAAGAAGATAAGAGTGAATACCGAGAGCAGGAGTAAAAGAAATGGGTAAGAGAAAGCATGGCAGGACTATAGGGCACCAAGGCTGGGAAAGGGGAGCCCAAGATATGAAGAAGTTTAGGGTAGGGAGCAGATTGAAAAGAGCTGAGAAGGGCCACAGGCACTGAGTAAGCCTGGAGGTCAGCATGTGCTTTGGTGTGCTGACAGTCACCAGAAGCTGTGTTCTAACTGACAACTCTCACTGCTTTCTTTCTTTACTTTTTGTTTTGCTTTGTTTCTGTTTTGATTTTTTTTTAATTAAAACAAAAATGTTGTTATGGAAAATATCAAAGCACATAGAAAAAATGGTAAGAAAAATCCACAGGCTGTGCTACCTTGTCTCAAATGAACTGTGGAGTGTTTGTTTGGGGATGGGGGGTCTGTAAGGAGTATGGAAATATTTTCAGTTATGGAACTATTTGACCTAGCTGAAAACCATCTATGTTTTATGAATTTGCTTTCAATGGAAAGTACAAATGTTGCTTTCCAGAAAATTCAATATTCTTTCACTAAAACACACAAACAAAGAAAAATTAAAGTGATGGAAAAGGGAAGAAAGAAGTAGAAATAAAAATGAAGCCAATAGTTTTCAAACATAGAAAACAGTTTTCTCCCTAAAGACTAAAACAGAAATCCCACAAGATTCTTCATTTCCATAATTTTCTGTAGAGTGAAAATACCAGACGATTTAGTGCTGTGGATATGTGTGTGTATGATTTGCCAGGGGGAGAAGTGGCCACACAACCAACCACTGCACCTTATTCCTCCCTGAGTTTTCTTTGAATCACACTGGATCTGAAAACCCCAGGTTCTAGCTTCATAGGGAAATTCCTTAGCTGAAAATATTGAAAGGTATTGTGTTTGAAATTCCTTCCATCTGAGAAATAAAACATATAGTATACAGCAATTTCCTGTAACTCACGAGATCAAGATGGGACAAGAAAACTACAAACACACACACACAAACACACACACGAACACACCAAAATCAAGATCAAAACAAATAACAAATGAAAAACCAAACAACAACAAAAAGTCCAATTACCTAAAATACAATCAAACAAGAACTATTCCTCAGGCTCTTAAAATTAACTCATCATTCATTTTTGTCTTGCCTATTTGAATACTATACACTCGATAGAGTAAGTAAGGTACTAGAGGCCTCCAAGCACTTCCACTTCTACAAAGTCCTACATGGCAAACTTAACAGTCTGGGGATTCAGTTCCTCTCAAGCCCTGGGAAGTCTCCTCTCTGCCTTTTCAGTTTGCTTCAAATTTTATCAAATACATACCCATGTCTCCCTCTGGAAGGTGGTCTGGGGCAGACATTTCTGCCTTTACCATGCCCATGGATGTCTCTTCAACCTCTTGAGCAGGCATCTCTGAACTGAGAGGAAGAATCTTTCCTGAACTAAGGAGGAGGGATGAAACCTGAAACCCTGGAGAGGGAGACAAAGCTTTGTATTCTGAGTTTCCTAATAAGCACTCTGCAAGCACAACCCAGCTGTCTGTGTGACTCATTAACCACTCCTTAACAGTTCTGAACACATCACCTCTCAGCACATAGCGTTTTGTTCCTGGAGGAAACAGAATTACAAAGTAGGACTATGTGATGTGAAATTAAGTGGACTATAGTACAGTAAACATTTCAGATTCATCACTACTACTTTAAGAAAAGTATTACTTCGATGAAAGTCACTGTTATTCAGTGGGGAAATGTTGATTGATTGTCTGACTGATTGAATCAGGGTTTCACTATGTAGCTCAGTTTAGCCTCAAATAAACCCACATTGGACCTGCATTTCTTGTCTATGCCCTATATTTAAAGATCAGGATTGCTGTAAGTCCTGAAATTCCAGATCATATAGGTGAGGGCAGATCAGACCTGGACAGGGAGGCAGAGAGGAAAGTGGCATCGAATTAAAGGGCAAAATGACAAACTTCTGGAGTCAGAGATACTTGTGCCTGAGGTTATTATAGATGCAAAAATCCCAGCAAAAAGAGTAAAAAAAAAAAACCAATTTTCCTAAAGTTAGGTAGAAGCTTCACCAGCTGCATGTGTTAATTCCTGCTCTGGATTCAGCCAACTGTGATGAGGGGGTGTCTTTCTTCACCTCTTTCACTATGTGGCTGAAGATACTAACTGATGATGTTGTGGGCTGCAAAGCAAATCTGAATTCTGGAGTTAGGGAGCAGACACTAAAAACTACACTTCCATTTATCTGTACACACATCTTAAAATGTGTTGTCAAATATAAATCACAAACACTTTGGGAGAAGCATCAAGACTCAAATCTCTTTCCCTCCCACTATGAAACCCCATAAGGCTCCTCACTATGTAAAACCTGAGCATACTTTGCCAGAGACTGTGTTGCATTGGATTGGGAAGATTTATGGCCCAACCATTACCCAGGAACCTTGTTGACATGCAGATTCAGACTGTCTGCACTTGGTAACAATCTCCAGGTGACATCTGCATTTCTGTGAAGCCTTTCCAGAAACACTCCTTCCTGAGGAAAAAGACAGAGCCACTCACATCTGTTGTACAAAGGTCAGTTCCTAGATTTTTTTAGGTTTAAGCAGTTATTAAAAAAATGTACATACCCAGACATCATAGAGGATGAACACTTATCTCAATCAGCAGTGGATCCCACTTTCTATTCCCTGGTAATTAATTGTCTTATTTTGAAAAAGGGGGAAGTGCCAGCATTTCCTCTCCTAAGCCTTTGATAAGCTCTTACACTTTTACAACTCCCCTGTCAGTACTTGAAGATAAGCTTTGACTAAAGCAGCAGGGGCTTCCAAGTTTAATGACCTCCTTCTGTGATAGAAAAATATTTTCTTTCTTTTTATTTATTTATTATAAATTTCAACCTCCTCCCTTCCTCCCATTTCCCTCCTCCTCCCCCCACTCCTCTTCCCCCTCCCTCTCCACTCCTAAGAGCTGTCAGGGTTCCCTGCCCTGTGGGAAGTCCAAGGTCCTCCCCCCTCCATCCAGGTCTAGGAAGGAGAGCATCCAAACAGACTAGGCTCCCACAAAGCTAGTCCATGCAGCAGAATCAAAACCCAGTGTCATTGCCCTTGGCTTCTCAGTCAGCACTCATTGTCCCCCACGTTCAGACAGCACCATGAAATGTAGGGGACATTTCACCTTTAAAGAAAAACAGTCTTGAGCACTGTTCCCTTCATGAGTCCAGGAAGAATTCATATAAAAATTATTTCATGAGACACTGGAGACTCATCAAAAGGCACTAGCCTTTCTGGAGAATGACTTGAAATCAGACCAATTATTTACCTCCACTCTGTTCATCAAGGAAAATCTTCTCTCTGTCAACATTGGTCCTGTGAGAGGTCAAGGGCACATTGCATCCTATTCACCATTGGGTTGACCACTGATGGCTGGACTAAACTTGATTAGAATTGTGTATAGCGCACTGTTGTTTGCTTGTTTGTTTGAGTCAGGAATTCTTTCTATAATCTGACTGTCCTGAAATTCATTCTATCGACCAGGCTGGCCTCAAACACATTTAGCTACCACTCCTAACTTTCAAGAGCACTTTTACTCAGTTGGATCTGTTACACACAAAGGTATTCAGAGGGATTGTCTGGATGGGAAAGGGAGAAAGGAGAGTGTTTGCCATGCCTGTTGGTGAACTTGAAGCTGGTATACACAGGGATAAAATGTCTTTATTGTCATGGATACAGTGGAGCTCCTACTAAAAAAGCAAAAAAAAAAATGATGGATTATTGAATATCCACTTAGCCAATGATCAATGCAACAAATGAGTCAGTGATAAAGAACATTAAAAGATCCAGCAGTTTGGCACTGTGTGTGTATCCTAGGTGAGAAGTCAGGGACCGTGGCCATTATCACAGGATTCACAACAGTCAAAAGGCAGCAGCATGCAGGTTTGCTCCCCAGGAACAGTGACACAGTGAGTGTCGTGTGCATAGACCACATTCATCAGCCTCAAAGAGGAATGACCAAGTAGGTTTTGTGGCCCACATGCCATTCATGATAATGAAGACTTCAAACTGTAGATCTGTCTGAAGCTCTGACAACTCTATCCTGTCTCCAAGAACAGAGAGCTGGGGTCCTAGATCTAGGTATCATTTTTGACCTTAGGAAAGTAGGCAGGAGGCTAGATAGCTCTAAGACAAGTTAAGAGTTACTGCTTAAAAATCAGCCCTGATACATGAGGACTTGTCACATGTCCAAGTTCAATAGCTGTCCTGACAGGAAGGCTTCTCTGCCTACCTAAGTGTAAATCTGGAAAATTCTACAGGAGTATGTTGTAGGGTATCCCTAAGGACATGCTGCTTTGTGGGTACAGCACATCACAAATCCTTTGACAGATGAGAGGTGTTAGGAGTGCCTGTGCCCTGGTAGCTTTACAAAAGTTCATGTGTGAGGGGAGCAGAAGGAGGCAGAAGAGATGATGGAGCTGGGGAAATGCAACAGATATAATTAAGATGAAACCAGGTCTTAATTTATGCCAAATGATGTACAACAAACAAAAAGGATAAATGTTTGGGTCCTATGTAGAATGTGGGACCATAGGTTTGGGTCCTATGTAGGATGAGGGATAGGTGGTTTGGGCTCAATATAGGATATTGGGCAAAAAGCCCGTGGTAAGCATGCTTCCCTTTGGCTGAATATTTCCTGTAGCCCCACACTGCTCTGAAGCCTAAAACTGATGCACAGACCACCAAGGACCTGTACCAGTACCAGAATGATGCAGATGACACACAGAAATGGAGCACTATGTATTATTCAAAATATGTCTCTTGCAAGAATATTCTCTGTTTCAAGCTGAACTTTAAAGTTAATTAATTGAAATGAATTTAATGTTCTAAAGGTAACTCAGTAGAATTAGGTTAGTCTTAAAAGATGATTTTTAAATAAATTTAAAATTAAAAAAAAAAGGTTTTTTTTTTTGTTGTTGTTTTGTTTTGTAAAGGTCCCAAAAGGAAATGAGAAATATAGCACCTGGAGCAACAGCTGAGGGTGCAGGAAACCAAGCTCTTACTCTTTGGTTTTGAGCCTGGCCTCTAAAGGCTGAATCATCTCCTTAACCCATCCCCCATTCTGCTCAAGGCCTTCCTGTGCTTCCCTGAAGAACATAAGGGCTGCCAGTGCGAAACAACACTTCTGTTGCGCTTATTAACATTTAAGATCCATGAGGAACTTTTCCGGGGTTGGAGGTAAAAACAAAGACTGGATAAGTCATGAGTATTTGAAGTGATCACATCTGATCTGGGGGATGCCTGCTCTCTGCTTCTCACCAGGAAGAATAAAAGACAAAGAACCAGAGGGGCAGGTGGCTGATAAGGTGGATCTGAGGAAACCTAGTTTGATAGGAGAGGAATGTGGCCTGCAGTCACGGATGTGGGAGGGTGTCTGATGTGCCCTCTGCACATACGCAAAGACATTTCCGCAGTAGAATGGTGCTTGTGTGACTGGAGCAGCTGATTAGAGCAGGGTAAAGGTAGCTGAGCACAGCTGGAGTGCAAGGAGGAGCTTTATGGCTTTTGCAAGGATGCTTTGGATTCAGACTTTTCATGCTGAAAATGTTTGAAATAATAAAAAAATACCAAGCTGGGCTTAAACCTCAAATCCTCCTCTCTCTGCCTCTTCAGTGAATACTCCTGTAGCACATCTCAACTGAAGGAAACAATGTGAGTTAGAGGTCTAGTTTAGTAAGCTATGCTGTAACATTACAGGACCCACAAGGATGGGAGGAGCTCAGAATTTGGAATGTAAAATGGCCTGTCCACCCTCTTGCAAAACCAAGTTTGAAGTAATAAGGGCGGCGGCGGGGCTGCGTCCCCAACACCCGGCCGCCTGCCCAGCTAGCTTATGCCCCAAAATAATTACACGGACACTGTATTCTTTTAAACACTGCTTGGCCCTTTAGCTCTAGCACTTACAGGCTAATTCTCACATCCCGATCAACCCATCTCTAATAATCTGTGAGAACCGGTCTTACCGGGAAGATTCTAGCCTATGTCCATCCTGGGTTGGAGCTTCATCCCGGGAGCGGGGCATGGCGTCTCTCTCAGGCGTCTGCTCCCGAGAGGAGAGCTGTCGAGACTTTGACCTCACTTCCTCTTCCTCCCAGCGTTCTGATCTGTTTACTCCACCTACCTATGTCCTAACCAATAAAATGGGCCAAGGCAGTTCCTTTATTAGCCAATGACCTTTCTCCATCATTTCCCCTTTTTCGGTTTAAACAAAAAAAAAAAAGGCTTTAACTTTAACATAGCAAAATTACATATAACAAAACAGTTATCAAGTAAAAGTTACAATAATCTTTATCATAACTAAGGAAAACTATAACTATAACTATTCTTAACTCCATCAAAGACTACAGAAAGATATAATATTACCTAAGT